ATGTAAAAAATGTGATTGTTTACAAATAAAAATCGATATAGCTGAATTTAATCTTTCCACGCTCATATAAATTTAGAATCAATCATTTGGAGTAAATTTAACAACTATGTTATGCATGACAAAGTATAAAATAAATATTTGATTAATAGACGTTTTTAATAGTTATCATTTTTATCGTCTCTCAATAAAGTCTAACAAGATAAAAACTTTCGTATATCTTTATAAATTCTTAATAATTGCATATTAGTAATTGCTTATTAATAATTTATTTAGTTTATTATTATTAACAATTATTCATTATTGTAATTCTTGATGTAAAATTCTGTTCTCTTTAGTTTTTATAGTATCATGAAATAAAAATTCTATAAAATTATACTCCTGTATAATAACAATAATAATAATTATAGATAGATATAGTAATAATAGTTCTAGAATATCATGTGCAAAAATGATTAAGCTTACATGATTTAAAGCACGAGGTGCTAGCAGGCGTAAAATAAAATTTAATTACATGGTGAAACATGTAATTAAACATGAAACATGTTCGTGCCATCGAGCATCTCCTCGTGGTGAGTGCGTGCAAATCTATTTTGTCAGCGGGTGTTGAAGGCGGTTCTCGAGGTGTTTTTAAATGCACGCGAGGACTATAATATCACGACCATGAAATCAACCGCTCAATTCACTCGCAGGAGTAAAGTCTCTTGTTTAATAACGGCTTGCTTACAGCCGGCGACACGATCTACGCCGTTGATGGTCGAGTTCGGCGTTATTTTAAAAATGTGAAGGACGAAGGGTAGATTATGTTGATAATCTGAATTTGCCGCCGCGAACTTTGTTATCGTCGAATCACGTGATCTATACTTGAAAAAAAATTTGCGTCCGAGTTTTCACACGAAAATGTCCGATCCGATTCTTATCGGGATGAACGATGATTTGACGAATTAGATAAGTTTAATTTTTTTCGTGAATTATTCGTGGAAATTTTATCAGATGCTTTCGACAAAAAGTACAATAAAAATTACAATTCGATTAAGATCGCATAATGGCTGTTCTATATCGCTTTTAATTACTATCGTCGGGTCACATATTTGTCACCTTTAAAATTATTTAACTTTTCTCGAAGATGGTTTTATTCGAAAATATAAAATAATTACGATACTCCGGATATTATCAATACACATTGATTACGAGTCTATTCATATTTGCTCTTACATATGCTGTTTATCTAATAATCGGTTATTTCATCGATTTCCGATATCGTGTCGTCGCGAAGTTTCGTTGATATTTTACGCAAGCACGATTACGATACTATTTTCGGCATGTCTTTGCGTGGTATCTATACATAACCGCTTATTTAAAGCTCAGGCCGTTAATTATTCGAGATGTCACTCTCGGCTCACCTCGTCATTCACTTATTGTGAACGTTGACACTTTGACACTTCGTTATTTTGATGCATTTATACGAGAACATCTGAAATTTTTTTTTGCTGTATTACGCAATTAAAAATTAATATCGCTCGGTGTGTATAATTCTCAGAGCTTAAATAACGAAGATTATGTAAATATTGTACATGCGTGCTTTTTTTCCTATCATTTTTAAGTTATTGGCTCTTCTCCATATAAGATATCGATACAGGTAACGATATTACTGTCGATCTCTTTAGATATCGATGTAAATCGCTGATACGAACGTCTGGGATTTATGCTTTCCACAGGCACGTCCTCGGGTTTTCCTCCACATCGCCTGCGGAGCCAGCTCGGCTACAGTGGATGCACTCGGCTTTCGTCGTCCAAGTCTCATTTCATTCATGGCACGACCGCCCCCGTCCGTTCCGTCAGCTCCGATTTCTCTCTTTCTCTCTTCTGCTCGCCTTTCCGCTCTTCAACTCCTTACCTCTCTCTTTCGGTCGTCCCGACCGTGCGACTCCGCGCATTCATCTTCTTTCAGTATGTTTCTCTTCCTTTCTCTGTCTTTCTCTCTCATTCCTTCTCTTTCTTTCTTTCGTTTCTCGAAATGTCACGCGTACATAGCTAGTGGAGCTTCGGTTTCATCTGTATTCTTGAACTTCATCGGCGAACTTAAAAGCAAAAAGAGAACAAAAGCTCAGCCGAGCTTTTGTATATGTGCACAAGCATGATTACTCATACGCGCGAGTTCGCATTGAACGAGAGAAGAGAAGTTTCAGCCCTTGCCCGTTCGAGCAAGGATGACGTAAGAATTCTTTTAATCCTTCTCCGAAGAATAGGTCATCTCGACGACAGTGGGGCGGATACAGACGATCTTCTTTCATTGAACATACGTCGCCGTCTCGTTTCTTACGTATTTTTCATCGATGCGCGTGGAAAAGTGGAAAGCACGATAGAAGCTTGTACTTTAGGGGCATGATCTTTTTCCTTCAGTGTCTCTTTGATCGCCAGATTGCATCGACTGATATTTGTGACTCTAATTCTTCTTTTTAAATATTTAAAATTCATTTTTTTCTTTTTTATACTTTGTCATTTTATATTTCTATCATTTTCTTATCATCTTATTTTTTCTGAGTTTTCAAAGTTGTGTTTTTTATAAATAATGTATTTCATGTATTTTTTAAGGAATGAATTTCAAAGTTCGAGATAATGAATTTCTATGTTCTTCTTTATTCTGTGTTCTCCTTCATTCTACACATCTATCGCTAATTTATAACAATTGTATTTACGCGCTGATACAGCGGTTTTGTCGAACGATCGCATTTGACACTAGATCCAATTAAAACTTTCTTGTTCAAGACGGAAGGCGGATAGTCAATTTCGCCAACTAATGCAACCCACTTTCGTTTTGCGGAGTTACAAATTGAAAGAACCAATATCGCTGTAGGGCGAAGCTTGGAACAAGAAAGAAGCTTAACGCTGATTGCGTTCGTTATTACTGTCCATACGCGGATAAAAAAACATCTTTTATCTTTATATTTTTCAAATCAGATATTATTTGTAATTTATTTTTTCCGTTTTTCCCCTCTAGCATAAAAAATACGAAAAAATTCAATACTTTAAGTCTCTCAGAATTAAGCCAGCGCAGATTGAAATTTGTCAATTTGAATTCTGCCATTATTTACAAAATAAAGCTTACAAATAATTTTATCTAGTTTCTTAAATTAAGAAATCAGTTTCCTAGTTACAATGATTTCTTCGAAACAAATGAAAAATTCAAAAATAATGTGCGTTTTGGACTAAAGGAGAAAATCTCGACGGTTGAATAATGCAATTCACGATGCATTTGCATTAAACTTTGTACAAAATGGTCCCAAAATCTCACAATTAGCTCCGCAAATAATGATACACTCGGTATGTGCGGTATGTACGGGGGTAACAAATAAAAGAGAAGGAACGCGAGAGACGATAAATTATCCGGTTAAGTTAGTTGGCTAATTTTCTCGGCGAAACAATGCAAACGTTCATTATTTAAACCTGCGCCGGGCTTAAATAGTTCAAATACCGCGGCGATGGACATTGCTTCGTCGGTTAGTCTGGCTAGTTAAGTTGGTCGTAGGTCGAAGGGTGGTTGAGCGCGCGATGGTCAACGCAGGAGATGGGGGTGGACTGACGGGTATGCCAGTATGAAATTCTGGTTTCTCGAACCCGGATGTTGAGGAGCTGTGCGCACGACGACCCGTGGGACAAGAGCTCACAGCTGCCTGGCTGGCTGAGTAGTAGTAGAAAGTCCTTGGTATGCCACATGAACACCCTGAATATTGGTTACGAACGTGCCTGACCTACCGCAACCAGCCGGATATGTCACTTTCGGGTGCGCGCCGATTTCATTGCACCACCCTCTCTGAAATCCGACAAACTCTCTCTCCCTCTACCTCTCTCTTTCTCTTCTGTCTTCTATTTCTCAACTGTCATCGCCTTCTAATGGAGACATTTCTGTTATGTACTCGATTAGCTTGTCAATGATGTAGATTGTATGTGTGCACAGAAAAAAAATAAATGTCAAATCAAAACTTATATACTTAAACTAACGTGTTCATTGTTTCGTATATACGCAATCATTTATAATCTTCTTAGAAGAATTTAATAATTTTAAATTTCAACAATTTTATAGTCTTATTTTAATATTGTAATTGTCACCTCAAAAATATATAATTATTTAATTCTACTTTAAGAAAATTATAATCTTTGATTTAAAAATGTTATTTTTTATCTAACATTGTTTCTTTTCCATTCAAGAAAATTAAATCTTAAATCATAAGAATATATTTTTCTTGATTAAACTATATAAAATGACTTTATTCAAGTAAGCAATTATTCAAGCAATTATATTTTTCTTTAATTAACGCAATAAAATATTATTTCAAGATTTCCATGTTAAAACTAAATATATTTTCAAAACAAGAATGTTCTTTTTTCTGTGTGTGTGTGTGTGTGTGTGTGTGTGTGTGTGTGTGTGTGTGTGTGTGCGGTCGCGTGTGTGCGTGTGTGCGTGCGTGCGTGTATTATATATGTATGGTGATGACGAAAGAATAGATATTAAATCTTTCATTGCAAATTGAATAATAAAAGAATAAAGTCAAATTACTTCTTCATCGGAGAATTATTGAATTTACACCTAGAACTGATATTATCGAATTATTGGTATGTCAGCGAAAATTTCATATGTAATCTCTCTGAATAAATTTAAAATAAATTTAAATAAGTGTTAAAATTTAAGAACACTGTTTTTGTTGAATTTTAATGTAAAATGTAATGTAAAATGTAATGTAAAATATTTGACTGCGTAAAACTTTAAAATGAAAATCTACTTATCGATTTATCGGTTAGTGGATAATAATCGAGATAATAATCGAGAAAAGTTTGTTTTTGTGTTAATTCATATATTTTTTCATCTCGTGAAAAATTTGTGAAAATAGTAACTTTTCAAAATATGTCATTTATATGTGTGCAGAGCTTTTATTCAATCCTGAAAGATCAAAATGAAATAAAAGAACGTTTTCATATTTTACTCTTCTTCTTTCTTTTTACAGAGTTCTCGAAAAATACGCTGCGACGTAAATCTGAGAGAGATCCAAAGAGAAAAAGAGGCAGAGAGATAGAGAAAAGAATCGCCGTAATCACGTGAGTAAATTATCTAATCTAAGGAACAGACGCGTTGTCGAACTAACTGTTACAGACAGGACACTTTTTTTCTATTGCAATTCTTACAATTTTGCTCTCTTCCTTTCCGTATTTTTCCATTCCATTGTTTTCCTTTGATTTCCTTGCAACATCACATTATTTTTTCATAGTCAATTTGTTTTACACGCGTGGATAATAATATCGAATTGATTGATTCCGCACCGCTGCTACTTTCGCACTTGTAAATTATTTTCGCTCAAACGAGTATTATAATATATATTTATATGTATAACAGTTACATATATCATTGCTTTGATGAATGCTTTGCGTGTCCTGTTTAAATCCGATAATTCCCAGCTTTAATGCATATTGATGTCCCCATCAATATGATTCGCCTCGTGATATTTACACAGGATGATTTTAAAAGCACTGGAAAAATTTTAAATTCTGTCACACACAAATTTTTGCATGTCAACTCTTGAACAAATCTGCAATAAATCCTTCTTAAGAGATTTGCTAAGGAACATTCCTCTGTCACCACTTTTCCATTTTTAGCATTAAATCGTGTCGATAAGCAAATCTTAAACTACAATTCTGTCAAATAAAATATTTAAAATTAAATGAAGATTAAAATTTTTTTGTTTACAGAATCACAAGTTTCTGCTATAATTTATGCAGTATTGTGTATTTATGCTGCCGGTTCAACGAGGTTTAGTTGTAATCAGAGTAAAATCATGTTACGCGATATTATCATATTATGTAGTCTTATTATGGAAAAGTTGAGATGGTCTAAATTAATTACAAGTCTCACAAAGGAAAATTAGCAGTTTCGAGTCAACCTGTGAAGCATATTATCTGACTAACATAAAGGGTGCGCTCGGATGAATTGCTCGGATGTCGGGGTGGTGCTCGTAATTTATTGCAATTCCCTCTGATTTTCTTTGTACGTTTGCATCACGTCCGTTCCGCTGCAACAGAATAGTTTGCGGCGAATGCTTATTAGATCCTTTGAAATTTTGATTTAGAGCATGACGTTGAAGTGGCGAATTTCTCACGTATGTTACTTTCTCAAACTTACATAATAGCCCTTGTGCATAAATATATGTGACGTTAAGGAAACCTCTGGTGCGTGTAATGTATGTGCGGAATTATATAACTATAATTTTGATGGGAAAATTTACGATGCGGTCGAAAATGTGACAATCGTGAAATGTGTAATTTTTTCTAAGAGAATTTTTCATAAACGTATCGCACGCGCAACATACCAGATTCTATTCTAATTTCTTCACGTTTATTCGAATTTTTCTCTCTCCTTGGCAACGATTTTGTAAAATTCTTCAACTATCCTTTTTAATCGCATAACGCGCGCACGAACGTATTTTATATGAAAGAATTCTAAAGTATTTTAATTTGCTACATTCCGAACAAACTGTGCGTACATAATATATTGTGTTACAAGTATTTATTTGATTTAGCTATATAATACTAATTTGTCCAACAGTGTGCGAAGAATGTAAGAGAAGCATTTCTAATGCTTCTTTATAATTTTATTGATTTGTTAAATTAATTAACTATTACCATTACTTTTATAAACGTAAGCATTAAGTCGTATTTCAAAGTTCGTAACTTCTCTATTATTTATGTACAACTTGTAAGTTGAAATTGCACCTCAATTCTCATTGTTAACTGTCTTCTTAATCAGATACAATATCCAATTACAGAGAAATTCATTTCTAATTTATTGAAGAGTCTATTATTAAACTTTGACGCGGCGAAAATGGGATATTTTATATATATATATATATATATATATATATATATATTGTGTGTGTATCTAAACTGATACTAGGCAGAAAGAAGGATGAGAAGCTTTAACACGAGTAGCAAGTTATAAGATAGAGTCAGTTCTTTTCGAGAGTTTATTCGTGGGAAGACATAAATTACTTTTTTTGCCCATCATTCATACATCGTTGAATCAATGATGCGATTGCGAATTATATTTTTTTCTCTCGATGGTATTTCTTCGAAAAGAATATTCTCGTTCTATTGATCGCGAAACGCAATTAAAACATAAATCCCGAGAATTCAGGACGCGTACCGCAATGTCCTCTCGCACAGATATATGTACGTGATAATTTCGAGATTGCCAGATCTGTGCCAAATCATGATGGATCCGGAACTTGTAAAAGAAGTCATAATATTTGTACAAAACCGCTATCCTTTCACGGAAAACGTTTTGTATTTTGATCGTGTTTACGTAGGGAATTGATTAGCTTCGCGTAAGAGGAATAAAAATTTCGTATGAATTTATGAAAATTGTCATTACTGAAAAAACAGTAATATTCAATTCATTAAAATCTGAATATCGTATCCGAAATAGTGATTAAATTATCTGAACTTTACGCGATTCTCATTTGTAAAACATGGAAATTCGTGATGAATTGCACGAAGAATGAGCAGTCTTCTGCAATGCTTGTATAAATTGTGTACACAGTAAAAAAATGTGCGTCCATATGTTAAAATTTTTTTATATTACCACGTTTTGATTAGTACTTCAATGTAAAATTAACATACAGCCTATATTATTATATCTATGTTATTATTTTTACAACATTTTCATATGTTATATTTATGTCATCTTTATGTTTATGTTTATGTCTCTAACTTTACAACTTAACACTTTGTATATGTCTCTTAGAAATGAATTATTATTTTGAGTATTTTTAACATAATCATTTTAAACAATCAACATATTTTAAAGTCAGTTTAACATACTAAGAAAATTTAGAGTGAATCTTCAAATAATCTTGAACTTTGACATACAAAATAATTAAATGTACTAAAATCAACTTTTTCTATTAGAAATAAATTAAGTTAAAATAATTACTATTATATATTAATGTTCTCAACATTTCTTACGAGTTATTATAATTATTTTTTCAAGTAATTTTTAATTAATTTGTATGTTATTTTTACATTACACTTAAAGTCACAATAACATAAATAAACGTAAAGTATTGTGTCAATTATTTAACATTTTTAGTTTATCAATAAGTAATATACGGCGAATGAGTTATTTTAACTTAAAATTTAGAGTGGACTTTCTTGGAGCATGTGAAAAATGTTACAATTAACATTTTATTTTTACTGTGTATAGAGTTTCGCGAAAATATAATAACTGGATCGCAAATTTGGACTTTTCACCCAACTTGCCTTTATTCGTCGATGGACAAGTAATCTACTATTCTTGGCGGGTCATGAATTTATCGAGATTTATGATACGTGAGATAGCCGCGATCTTCGAAAACGAGAACATGAATTTTACAAGATTGACGAGAATCGATCTGACGTGACGGTTGCTCGATGCACACAGTACAATACATGGTCGATGCACGTAGTATAATGCGATGTATGTACATGGTATATCCGTTTTTATTTCATTCTTATAATCACGGTTTTTATTTACAAATCATTTTCAAACATTTACATTTCATACATTTATTGATATCACAAAAATATTCGATGAGAACGCTCCGTTTATAACAATTCTCTTATTAAAATGAGGTTTGATCGATCGAATAACATTTTTCCCAACAATTTTCTCCGGCAAACTTTTTACACACTTTTTATTTCTTTGCACATTAACGTTCGCTCATAATGGCTGATTTAAAGTATCCGCGCTCGTAGCTTTAGAAGAATCGTACAATTATTTCATAACGAGCAAGTTCTTTGCGTGCTAGAAAGCAAAACTGCTTTTTTACATCGTGCTCTTTCTCTCTCCCATTATGCCGCCGGTTATAATGCAAAAGAATCATTTGCTTTTATCGCCGCTTGTTTCGATTCACAATGCGAATCATCAGTAATTCTTCTTTTAATGGAGAACAAGTCAAAAAGTTAAAAGTTAACATTTAAATTAGAAATTCTTACCGATTCTCACCGATAAACTTTATTCTTTTTTCTCTTAAGCGAGTTTTATAATTCAAAGATTGGCTAATCAGCTAAAGAATAATTGCACTCTCTTATTTTAATTTATAAACGTTTAGAGGAAGGAGAAATTAACAATGGTTCTATTTTCGTAAATTATTTCCTTGGTATTGACAGGCTTGGAGCATCTTTATTTTTTTCCTGTTTTTATTTTCTTTCTGTTCGCAATTTTTAATTTATTACTGTAATTTGTTTCCTTTTACTTCACGTTTACAAGACGAAATACACAACATGCATTTCCTCTCTGAAATTATAAATTATACAACTCAAAGTAGATTTAGTATATTTATTTTTTAGTTTTTAAAGTAGATTTAATTTTTTTCCTTAATTTTATTGATCGCACAATTCCATTCTCTTATCTTAGAGATTATTCTTTCACCACACGTACTAATCCTACTATTCGTCTCTTGTTTTGTTTGTATCTCTGATTTATATAGGAAGGTGCGTTCGCGGACAACTAAATTATTAAATTTTATGCAAGGTGATTATTATCCTTCCGTGTTATCGCCTTTAATATGCGAGTCTCACGTGTACTACTAGATGCTGCATCTACTCAGTATCTACCCACGCACGCCGGCATATTGACATTCCTGTCGCGTAGTACGTGCGAGCTGCGATAGCTATACATGGGATGCACCTTGGGAACGTATGCCACAAGTTCCACAGTACTCGAGACATTCTGTTCGATTTCTCGTCTACAATCCGCGTTACGTGATTTCCTGCGTTCCTTGGCTTTCGACTCTTCACACGAAGATGTAAATACTTGACGACAGGATAAACATGTCCCGTTTGCCTTTTCGCGAATGAAGATCGCACGCGAGCGAAGTAAAACAATCTACAAATCGCTAAAAGAGAAAAGAAAACAACGTGCGATGAAACAGAGAAAGAAATATTAAAAATGTTCGTTGTGAATCCATCACCGCGGATGAAATCACATTTAACTCTAGAGCGAATTACGCGCTCGCAATTTGTAAGGTTTATTTCAATTATGGGATTGCGTATCTAAAATGCCTTGA